CGAGCCAAAGGGGTCTAAAGTTTCGGCTGAATTAAAACAAGAAGGGTTCAAGAGAATGGTGGTGGATGCTGCGAAGCCTTTTTTGAGAGGGAGAGTGGATCGATTTGTGAATGAGGTGGAAATGTTTTTAGCTTCTGGATTGAATATCGAAGCATATGATAAAGTTTATGTCAAACATTTGGGTTGGAAAATTCCGGAGATAGTGGGTGATGATATTGATGATGATGATGATGATGATGATGATGCACATGTTGATTGTAACCCGGTGATTCCGTTGTTGTCTTTTTCTGATGATGATGAGCTTGATGAAACTAGTTGAATGGTTTTCGGGTTTTAGAATTAGAAAAATATTGTTTTGATGAAAATGTTAACTATGTGTCTATGTCGATGTTGTTAATTGTTTATTAATTTTTTTGGAACAACCAATTGAATATATTAAACCAACTAGCAAGGAGTTGGTGAATAAATTAAAAAAATACATCATCACGTCATGTTACAAGTGGATTTTTAATTTAATCTCATCAAGAAATCTAAAATTTTCTACATCTTGATGATAAATTGATAACCAAGAAAATGCAATATCAACTATCGAATTAGAAAGTGAGTTCTTGTGCATTTTGTCTCGTTTGTTCTAGATCTTGCAAAACCATAGTGGGAGCTTTAAACATGAAAAAACAATTAATTAGTTTTTTTTACATAATTTGATGAAATTAGATGTGAATATTCACATCTATTAGAGATCGGTAAATAAGTTCTCTAAAATGGAGCAAATTAGTAAAAAAATAATTGTTATGCATGTTTTGGACATAAAGAAGTTGTGGAATGTGGACCCCTATCCTTCATTCAAAACGTTATGTACTCCACTCTACACTCCACTCCTAATCCTCTATGTTATCTTCTCCGACTGAAAATTTCAAGCATACACAGACGATAACATGGCAGTGAGCTCCGATTACGGAGCGTTCATGGAGAAATTTATTCTCCCGCCCTTGCCAACAACTTCTCCGGCGCAGCTCCCCTTGAATCGCCTCACTTTTGCTGTCAAAGACATGTGAGTTTTCTCTTAATCCTCCACTCATGGTCGCTGACTTTCAACCTCTCATGCTATCTATTAACGTACTTATTATATACAACTGTTTACTGATACGGTGGTTCACCTGGTTTCATTATCAATTTACAACAGTGATTAATTAATTAATTAACTGGTACTACTTTTTTATTTTATGTTTGTAAAGCAAACGAATGCAGTGTTTGCGTTTCTACATTTTGTTTGCAACACATGAACAAATGTAGATTAAAAGCAGGAAATCACAAATTATTTGGTTAATCTCTTACACGATTTCAATGGCCAACTGACTAATCAAATGATTGGTTTCAATTGCGCCTGATTGAAATGTTCTCTGTCAAAACCACTTTAGTTGAAAACCTACGTATTCATTACTCAATGCATTTGTACTTTGTACTTGATTCAGTTTAGTTATTTTTGAACTGCAAATCAGATTTGACATGGATGGATACGTGAGTGGATTTGGGAATCCAGATTGGCTGAAGACTCATTCTGCTGCAACCTCCACAGCTCCTGCTGTTTTGGCCATGTTGAATGCAGGTGCCACATGTATTGGAAGAACTGCCATGGATGAAATGGCTTACAGGTCAGATACATGATACAACAATACATCCATAATAATATCTGTTCAATCTACATGAAATATAAAAAGATGTTAAAATTAATGTTTTGGAGCACAGCATAAATGGAGAAAATATACATTATGGTACACCCCTTAATCCATGTGCACCTGATCGTGTTCCTGGTGGATCTTCAAGTGGCTCTGCTGTAGCAGTTAGTGCTGAACTTGCTGATTTCTCTTTAGGTGAGTGAGTTTACAGGGAATGTTCTTTTTTAGAGTAAATGAAACGAGAGTAAATGACCATTTTGCCCTTTTGTCTATACGTGTAGGCACTGACACAGGTGGAAGTGTAAGAGTTCCTGGATCATACTGTGGAATCTTTGGGTTTCGTCCATCTCATGGAATTGTTTCCACTGAAGGAGTTATTCCCATGGCACAGAGTTTTGATACTGTTGGTAAGTTTTAATAACTGTTATTTTCATTAACAGGAAATCAAATAATGTATGATATGATTAAATCATGTGGAAAATATGTTATAAAAACTTGTAATTTGGAATTTCAATACAGGATGGTTTTCTAGGGATCCTGGGACTTTAAACCATGTTGGGAAGATATTATTAGGGTTACCTAATGAAAAACTTGTGCACCCTAATAAAGTCTTAATTGCTGAAGATTGTTTCAAGCTTCTTAGTATTCCAACCACACGAGTGACCAAAGTCGTTGCTACATCAATCGAGAAGTTATTCGGAGGTAATCCTTATGTAAAATGACCGTTTTGCCCCTGATTTATATCTAACTTCAGTATTGCAGGTGATATTTTACAGTCTGTTAACCTCGGAGACATTATCGAAAGCAAAGTTCCAAGTCTGAAGCACTTCATGCAGAATGATAATACAGAAAACAAAGAATTCAGCATTAAATCTTTGGTTGCTCTTTCTACTTCCATGCGATTGCTTCAAAGGTGTGATTTTAATATTTCATCTTCTAGAAGATTAACATTGTGATATAACATGGTAACTCCCCCATTGTGGTGTAGATTTGAATTCAAGAAGAACCATGGTGAGTGGGTAACCACAGTTAAACCTAACTTGGGTCCAGGTATATCAGAAAGGGTATTTGATGCCCTTAACACATCAGAACAAGACATAGGCCCCTTTGACTCCATTAAGACCCAACTACAAGAAGCTCTCTCTTCTCTCTTAGGGGTATCACTCCTCTCCCTCTTGAAATACATTTATTTTATTTCTGGGTAAAAAAAGTAAAAAGTATATATATATATATATTTTTTTAATTAGGAAAATGGGATAATTGTTTTCCCTACTGTTCCTGGACCCCCACCTAAATTGCAAACAGAGACGACTTCATTGGAGACTTTTCGTGCCAGGGCATTCAGCTTGCTGTCTATAGCTGGAGTATCTGGATTCTGCCAGGTCAGCATTTAAAAACCATTATTTATTTATTTATTTATTTATTTATTTATTAAGAGATTTAAAACATGGTTTGGTTTACAGGTGACAATTCCACTAGGGAAATATGAGGATCTTCCTGTGTCGGTTTCTATGTTGGCAAAGCATGGTTCAGATGGGTTCCTACTAAATCTTGTTGAAACTCTTTATGACACTTTGAGAGAACAAGTTTGTATTGCTGAGAAAGTGAATTACTAGATTCAGAAGGCTAAATGTAATTGATAAATTGAAATTGCTTGATATGTATGAATATATGTGTAGATACACAGTTATATGTATATGAAAGCAGCAAGTAAGAGTAAAGTACAAGCATGGATCTACTCTATTACAGAGTTATTATGATGCTTCTAGTTCTAAAAAATGATATCCAGTTTTTAATGTCAAAATGTATGATGCTGATAAAATACCTAGTTTGAGTCCCAAACAAATTTTTTATTGATGTTAAATACACACGAAACTAAGTGATGTGAGTGGTGTACATATATAAATAGTATAAGTAGTTTTCGTTCATTACATTGCGCATCAGACACACAAGTTAATCTCAAGTCTAACAATGTACAAATCTTTGCTTCTGTCCAACTCATCAAACTCTCACATGCAACAAAACAATCCATCACCATTTATTTATTTATTCTCTCAAATTCATCATTTTCATCCTAATGGTTTTACCTCTTATACTTAATACTTATCCTTTCTATTCATCGTAATTATATATAATGAATAAAGGGCCCGATATCAATATTGTTTCTATAATAATAATGAATCCACTTTGAAAATCCAAAACCATCATTACTTTCCATAATTATTATTAAAAACAAAACTTAAAAAATCCACATGTATGAGAAAAATCTTCATTTATCAACGTGTAACAAAAAGAATATAAAAACTTTAACATTACATAGGCGTAAAATAGAAATAAAGTAAAATGTATGTAGCAAAGAGAGCAAGGAATACAAATAAACTTTTTTCCATTTTAATATCTTATCATAGGAATCAATACATGTGTAAAGAAACCACATCCTACCCCTTTATATAAAGGGCCGGATATTAATATTGTTTCTATAATAATAAATCCACATTGACAATCCAAAACCATCATTATTTTCCATAATTATTATTAAAAACAAAACTTAAAGAATCGACATGTAACAAAAATAATATAAAAGCTCTAACATAACATAAACAGAAAATAGGAATAAAGTAGAATGCTTGTAGCAAAGAGAGCAAGGAACAACATAAACACAAATAAACTTTTTTTTTTCATTTTGATATCTTATCACAAGAATTAATACATGTGTAAAAAAACTACACTTCGCTCCCCTTGTATAAGTCTTGTTATTAATAATTTATTCACCTTTTCAAATTAGGTGTTTCAAAAACTCAATTGATGCACATGTAATCCACAAATTAAAAATCTCATTCCAATCTAACATCACATAACCTATATTCAAAGTTGAAACAACTATATAATTTCAAAATTTTAACAAAATCATATAAAAACTAACTTCATAATTTTTTGAAAGAGACAAAATTGACTTCATAATTAATTATTTACAAGCACATATTACATTATTACAAATCAAATTTAAGAAGATAATTTTACAAACAATCATATGTATTTATATAAAGATATAAAGCATTACAAAACGATATTGTTAAGTACCAAAAATTAGGGCTTTTAAAATTACCAAACAAAAGTTAGGTTAAAAGTTAAAACCTAAACAAATAACTAATTAATTACAATTACTTCCTATCTGTTTCTTTGTTGAAATCCTTAATGACAAGTTGCCATTGGTGAGTAAATGAGTTACAAGATACACAATTATATGTATATGTATATGTATATGCAACCAGCAAGTAAGAGATTATTATTATTATTATTATTATTGAATTTCATTCTATTTCCCTCCAACCAAACAAATGCATGAGCATGAGCATGACAAATTATGATTCCAATTCCTGTGACAGATTCAATTCCTTTAAAAAAAAAAGTCTACAAAATGTTACAATAAGAATAAAGTACAAGTATGTTACATAAGCCAAAATGGAAAACAGAAAGTGATTAGGTCTTGATGAAGCCATCAATTATTATTATTATTATTATTATTATTATTAGGGGAAAGAAAGGTGAAATCAACTCAAATACAAACTATCCAAAACCGCAAATCCAGCAGCAACACCACCCTCGTTTGATGAAGAAACTTTAGTACGCATCAGGTAACCACATTGCTCACTAACAATCACCTTCTCCTTGTTTCTGTCACATTTACAATCGCATAATATGTCTAAAACACAATATATATATATATATATATATATATATATATATATATATATATATATATATATATATATAGAGAGAGAGAGAGAGAGAGAGAGAGAGAGAGAGAGAGAGATAAAAGCAATAAAAGTTAGATATATTTATTTATATATATATAAATACCTTAGATATGAACTAAATATCCCGAGTTCAGAAATGGCCTGTTCTTTATAGCAGATACCTTCTCGAACAAGAAGTGTCGGGAAATCTTTTGGGAAAATCCTTTGCATGAGAATGTATGCTGCTGCTTCTTCTTCGGATCCTTCTTTTTGCAATCTTACAAGCATTTCCTTCACTTCATCCCCATAAATGTTGTTACCTGATTTGAATGAAAAGATATTTCGTTACTAGACTAGAGACGATCAGAAGGGCATTTACGTCTTTTTACAAACTATAAAGAATCTAGGTAATCGTGAGGAAGTCCCAATTCTTGTATGTGGGACAAAAGATTATAACTTTTATCCCAGTGACATCTGTCCCAGTCCCAGATAACAGATAACAGATAACAGATAACAGATAACAGATAACAGATAACAAATAACAGGTGAGGTGTGAGTGTGACCTCCGCCTTCTCTTTGTGGCTTCATGACAAATGCTCCTGGCTGCTCGATAGCATTCTTGACAGCATTTGAATCATCCAAACTCCATAATCCAGCAAAGCATGCCTGAAGCTTGGCTATGTCATCTTTATTATCAAGAAACCTACTCCCACATGAAAAAATACAAACACAAATTACCAAAATACCCCTATATATATATATATATATATATATATATATATATATATATATATATATATATATATATATGACTGCAACAATGAAATCAAGAATATTTACCTCTCGAGTACATTAGGTTTTGCAAGCTCCTGCTGAACTTTCTTGGTGCCAGTTAAATGATAAGAGATTGAAGGACACTTGATAGCTACAGATTCCTCCATAAGTAACCTAGCTTTCCACTCCTACAAGATTCATAAAGCCATTAAAACATTAAATTGAAAATAATAGAATAAATGATTAAAGAATAAAATTCAAGAAATGTCTACTCACTGATTCAGAAGGATAATCGTTAGGTGCATATCCGGCTCTAAAATATATGACTGCAACCGTTTCACCATCCCTGCAAGTTAGTTTTCAACATTTAGCTTGTGTTGACCAAATTACAGAAATACCCCTATACTCTATACATACACTACAAGAGTTCCATCTGAAAGAGTCTTCCCTTGTGCATCAATTTCCACCAATGTCTTCCGAATAGCTCTAACATTATGTGTGTTGATGAGCTCAGGATCACATTTCAATTAATAAAAATTATATATATTTTTTTAATTCATTTCAATATGTGTAATGAGGGTATTTTGGTCTTTAATAACAAAAGAAACAACAAAATTCAACTTCTTTCCATTTGAAGGAATCCATCAAACATGGAATTTGAATTCCAATTCCGTCCATTTGGCATGGCAACAAAACAAGCCATGGAATGGAATCTTGAATTCCAATTCCACTGGAATCCACAGCAATGCAAAAAGGATATCTTTCAGTGAGGGTTGCACTGAGCCAATGTTGGTCATACATATTCCGTTCTTCAGGTTGAACAACCACCATAACTACAGCACTGTATCACATAATTAACTTCTCATTCAACATTATATAATAAAAAACCAAATAAAAAAAATCAATAACAAGATCCAACCTCGGATTGTTATATTCCATCCACGCCTTTGCCAACACCTCAGCAAACTTATTTGCTGAATTATTTTTTGGAATCCTTCTGAAATCAACCCCCAAGTGTTCTTTATATTGAGAGAGTAAGCTCCTGTAAGATGATATATGTATTCATAATCTTATTCATAACAACCAAGAATTAGAATTAGAATTAGAATCGGAAACAGAAAAACAGTTGATTAAAAATAGAAATACTTACCTATGAAGCTCACTAACAAGACAACTTAACCCTGAGAATGAACATGATATTGTGTTGAGCTCTATTTGGAGAAGTAAATTTGTATTTTCATCAAGCATATAATCAGAGCGATGTAATCCCAAGCGAATATCCTAGGGGCAAGATTTAGAAAATTTAGTTAACTTCCACAAAACCTAATTTGGTAAAGTATGTATTCACTTAATAGAAAATGTCCTAACGTTTTACAACATAAAGATTAAAGGGTTGATTACCCTACAATGATACCTCCTTCTTGCCGATTTGTAGCATCCTGGAGTGAATATCTAAAAGTCTGGAGGTGAAGGCATCCACTTTCTTTGTTCTGAAATTACAAAGAGAATGTGATCATTTTCATCCAAATTGAATCTAGCTTAAGTGATTTATAGTTAACAGAAATCATTTCAGAGAGAAACCTTGAGAGAGTGTCCTGCAAAAACTTGCCATCCAAACTAACTCGGTCTACTAACTCATTGAAAATGGGGGCTAACTCACAAGCTTGCTTCCAGTGGCTTTCTGGAAACGAATATGGTAGTAATGCAATTGGGGCGTGAACCAAACCGACTCCAGGAATCGATCCTGATCTCTGCAAATTCAGTTATAATCAAAACGATACATGTCAGTATATCAGAATCCTCAATTCGATAAATAACTTAAAACTTAGAACCCTACAAGTGAATCGACTGAATTCGATAAGTGTTTGGTTGAAGCTAAAATTACATAACAGGATGAACAAACCTGGACGTTTCTGTCCCCAACAACGAGTCCATGAAGAGAGCTCCAAACGAGAGCATCATAAACCAACTTTTGAAGTAATTCCGAGTCGATTGTGTGAGGATCAGACATGGGGTTTTTCACGAAGCTTTTTTGTTGGGTGGTTTTGATTTCCGGAATGCTGCCGCTGCCGCAATTGGGTGGCGAATTTATTGAGAATTTGGATGAAGATTTGTGGAATTGGGAATAAGTGTGAGTGGAGAGAATGAATGTCGATGTTGATTTGGGGTGATGGAGAGTGGATGAAAAGCAATGGTGATTGGGTAAAGAAAGGGAGAATGAAGAAGAGGAAGAGCAGCCAGCACCCATTTTGACCTTGTGTCCCACTTACACATCCCATCTTTATAAGTGTGCTTACAAATAATATTTGTCTGAATTAAGTTCAAGATTTTGTCTCTTTTTGTTTAACTTTTAGAATGGGTGTATATATATATATATATATATATATATATATATATATATATATATATATATATATATATATATATATATATATATATATTCATTTTATTTGATAAAAAAAATTAATTTGTGTAAATAAGTAATTAAAGATGTTTAGTAAAATAAATATTAAAATTAGTTTATAATACGTGAGAACTATAGTTACAAAATTAATTAAATTTTCATAGTAAACACTCAAAATTATTAATCAATTATTTTAAATAAATGATTAATTAAGATATATTTTTTAGTTATATAAAATTATACTTGTTAATTTAAATAAATATATGAAATTATATCATCTTATAATCGGTATTAGTTTTATTATAATGTTATTAATTTAATATAAATAGAATGAGAAATTTGAAATTTGAAATTTAACATAGAAAATTAACAGGTTGACAAGTGTTATAATATTAATTAGGAGACTTAATATTATGACACATGATAAAAAAAGAATAAAATTATTCTTTTATTAAAATATATTTAAAAAAAAGATATATATTTAGCAATGGGGTCATCATTTATAATTTATATGGCTAGTCTTTATGATTTTACGTAGATATTTGTGATCTCTTATTTAAGATGCTTATTAGTTATTGTAATTTGACACCACTAATAAATATTTTTTAGTTTTTGGATAAAGCAAAAATATAACAATTATTTACTTAAACAAAGAGTTGTTCATAAATGGATACATCGTAAGTTATTCAAAACATCTTATAACTTGCTTAAACAAAATTACTAACCTTATTATAACTTTATATATACATATATCTAAGATGTTTTGTTTTTTGGTCATTTTATGCGAATAAACAAAAATTGTCAAACACTAAAAAACAACTTATCAACTTATTATATTTTGGTATCGGATAAGTTAATCCAAATTTTTTTTTTTTTTTTTTTTTTAACTTTGTTTTTACACCGAATAAACCAACAAACACTTTTACAAATAAGCATGCACCGTTGTAAATGCAAATGACTATTTATCCTATTTTATTATTATTCTTTTATTTTTGTTGTATGTTCTGTTGTTTAAGATTTTAAATTAATCTTTTTTTTTTCTCTCTCTCACGAAATAAATCCAACAAGATCAATGCATTAACATGTTCCCAAACTCTTTTCAGTTTTTCTTTATTATCAATTGTTTCCTAATCGATCGTTTCGTTAGCAATTCTACACTAAAACATGTTATATATCAGAGCATCTCTAATTATGGGTGTAATCAAGAGGTGTGAAAGCGGCATTAAGGCTGGACACAAGGGTTCGTGGTTGAGGGCGACAACGATGTTGCTGACGCCGTTGTAGAGGTTGGGCGGAGGAGTTGCCAGCAGGATGGAGGCGATGTGTGTATGCGACAAATTTGCAAAGACATTAGTGAAAGCTCTTAGAGCATCTTCAACTAGGGGTGTAATCAAAGTCGAACTAATTCATGACAACTCTAGTGTATCGGAGACTAATTATTTTACGTGAGTTGTCATTATCTAAGAAGTAGTTATCTATTTCTAGATTTTTCAAAAAATTGTTGTTAGGAAATTCTTTGTAAGAAATAATTATCTTATTCGCTTCAGTTTGTGATAGTTACATATTAATTGCATTAATAATAATTCAATATGTTTTAATGAGTTCTCATTTCAATAATCAACTTATGAGTAAATATTATTAAAAAAAAGAAAACCAATACAACCATAATCGTATTATATAATCGTATTTTACATTAAAGTTTAATTTATAAGAACATCTAATGGTCAAACTATACGATGACTTAAAATTATCGTCACTTTTTAACCTTTAAATAAAAGTTATCTCTAATGGCTAATGTCTTATTATGCGGAGCCTAAAAGCACCATGTCATAAACATGAGTATTGATTTGTTGACTTCATTTCTCTTGTTTTAATAAGCTCTCGATCACATATAACCTGGTTTTCCTTTGCCAAAAAGAGATGAATAAAGATCCAAAAGTATTTCGAAAATTAATGTCTATATTTTTTAACCGGTTCTAATTTTTTGAAGATATAAACCTCATGATTTTCGAACTAGTTCAATAATTTTGAAAGAATAAAATATCAATTCCAAAGAGTATTTCTAAAATTCATGTCAGATTTTCGAAAGTTTCCAAACTAGTTCTAGGTTATCAAAGATAGAACCTACTTCTATTTATGCAAAATGATTTTCGAAGATATATATTCTGATTTTCGAATACACTCTTCAGGAAAACAAAAGTCAATGATTTTGGAAGGTGATATTTCGAAGTCACGAGAAAATCGTGAAAAAGACATCATCTTGAATAGAACGGGACCACTTAGAAAAAAAAAGATATTTGAAAATCTATACTTCACACATATTAATACTTTGTAGCACGTTCCAAATACATACTACATTTTCAAAAAGCATGGAAAAAATGATCATTACGACATATCTTTTCTATGTGGTTAATGAGGTCAATACCTCTTAAATCAAACATTATGTTTCTTTACACAAATAAAGCATCCAAATTGATTTCAAACTTCATTGACCCTTTTGTACTCTCACACATCCTTTTCTATATCTCCACATGAACAACTATTATTTTGCAACTGTTAAGAAAAATATCACAAACGCCCTCCAAACCGAATCTCAAGTCCTTTCCCACCAATTCCAGCAATGAAACATCTGAATCCACACTGCTGTAGCTCAGCTGTTACTGCATCAACAACAGAAGCAGACAACACTTTTCCAATAGTTAAGGAAACTATAAATAAACATATCATGTCATGTCATGTTATTATGTAATAAAGAAAAGGATACATGCTGGTAATAAAGTGAGAACACATCCACCACCACCAGCTCCTGTCAATTTGGAAGACAATTTGTATTTATGGGTTGTGCTAATTACTGTTTCAATAGAAGCATGGCTGACACCCATACATTGAAGCAGACCTTGATTCATTTCCATCAACTCTTCAACTTTCTCTTCTTTTTCAACAACTGCAAGATCATTGGAAGAAGATAATTGGATTGTGGATGCCAGCTCATTGCTGATGTAATCAACAGCAGTGAAAACAGATGTCATTGTGTCTGGATGTCTGTCTCTTCTTTCTGCAACACTTGTGATTAATGCCTTTGTGTTTCTACTAACTCTTGTGTCTGTGATTAGCATTTTCAGTGGCATATTGGATTTGATGGAGGTTAAAGCACCAGATTCTAACTTTATCAAGTTTCCTATACCATATATAATTTATATCTTATAGATATACAATCAGAAAAAAGAAAGGATGATAAACACATATATAATAAACTCAAACATAAGTAACATACCCATTGTGCTAACTGTATTGTCTATCCCAGATGGCTTTCCATGAATAATCTTTTCACCTTCAAAAGCCCATTCGTTTGCCAATTTCTGTTCTTTTTCACCAAGTGATAGCCAATCCTCACTGCTGAAGTCAAGATTCACAGAATCTGATGAAGCAAGTAAGGCGCCAGATAGTGAAACACAGTATGCTGCAGATGAGCCTAATCCTGAAGCAAGAGGAAGCTCAGAACTCACAACTACCCTTGCTGGTTTATCCCTGAATTAAGTCATTAACCACATACATAGACAATTAATCAACAGGTTTGAAGGTTTATAAGAATAAGATCCATCGACTTACCCTTGGATGGAGGTGTATAACCAGAGAAAAGCAACAACTCCAGCAGCTATTTCGATTTTTGACTCTGGAATTGAATGCTCTTCCACTAGTGTGGTGATGAGTTTCATGGTCTCTGAAGAACATGACGTTGGTGAGGATGCAGGGCTATCGATTGTTTGAGATAATGTTTCTCTGATTCTTTTAGTCGGCCATGAAAATTCCAGGCCGACATCCCTGAGCTGGAGTGATAGTGTTTCAGAGCTATCTATCCAAACAAGAAAAAAATATACAAGGAAGAAATGAGATTCTCTGTAAATAGATCACACCTAATTCATAAACGGAATAACAATTGCTATATATTCAATTTCATGATATGAACCCTAGACAGAGAATGAGGATTTCAAAAGGTCAGCAACATTGTCATTCTATCGATCAGCTGGAACGCATCTTAATCAGTTTATTTATTTATGAGATTCAGAAAAGAAAACGAAGATGAATTTGAGATTATGATACAGTAATCGAGAGAAAAGAAAATAAAGCGAGATTCGAAAAGAAAATAGTGGTACGTAAAAACGTAATGTACAAGTAGAGAAGGGAAATGGCGAGTGCATTACGGGAAGGTGGAGGGAAAGTAAGAGAGACGTAAGTGTAGAGGTCGATGGCAGCAGCGACGGCGGCGGATCCATAGACGACGGCGTGCTCGCCGGAGAGTATGATCTTGCCTGGAGCCCTGGCTTTCACTTCCATACCCCTGGTTAACATGCTGCTCATTATGATTATGATTATGATTATGGCTGTTTCTGTTACGGTTGGAGCCTGAGCTTAAAATTTCTCTTCATATGATGTATTCCCATTTTTTAATTATCATAATTCATAAATACATATGTAATCAGATTCATCTTTAGTTACATATTTATTTATACAATAAATAAATAACAACTACTTTTTTCTTTTATCTATATATAATGAATTCTTTATATCAATTTTGTAACATTGTTTTGTGTTTACCGATTTATGCAACCGATCATGAGATGAATTGTATGATCATGTTTGATCAGTGACGAATTTAGAATCAAAATCAACGTGATTCCTTATATAAATGAAATGGAAAAAAGTATGAAAATGTATGTCTTTTAGCAAAAATAAAATAGTTCCTTTTGTTTTTTTATACAGAATTATTGTATTAAAAAAGAAAAAAGGTATGTAGCTACGCGCGTTTGATTAAACAGGTTACAATTAAATGATCAAATTTCACAAATAGTCATTTTGGTTAAATTT